GCAATATGTAAACACCTGCCATGGGCTGTAATTAAACTTTATTTACAGAGATAGATTTGGTCCATGGGCCATAGTTTGGGAACCTGTGCTATAATTGGTGAAGATGTTAACAAATAAAAATGAATAAGTGGGATTACATTAACCCTGTTTACCAGAAATAGGGCTACCACAAAGAACTCTATCAAAAAACCTGAGTTCTGTTTTCTTCCTATTACTAAACAGTCTTTTATCTCTGGCCTTCTATGGCCTTGTCTTTAAAATGGGACCCGATGATAACTCCTCTGCTTAAAGATTTGAAACTGTCAAGTTCTGAAGGGTAGAATCTATGCCTTATTTGTCTTTATTCCTAGAGCGTAGCAGAATCCCCACATGCCTAGAGTATAATAGGTAGACAAGCACTTACTAAATAATTGAAAGTCAGGGTGAAGCTGGTGTTTAATGAAGCAGGTATTTGGATCAGAGAGTAGTTGTAAAGTCTTAGACTTGGAAAAACTTTAGTCCTCAGCTGAATTACTACTATGTAGAAGTCCTTCTAGGTTTAAGCACTTAGGATATTTTGATTCCAAATGGCATGAAACCCAACAGAAGTTGGCTGAATCCCCAGAGAGAAATTGGCACACTGATGTGCCTTGTTGCAGGGGCTCACTCCATGTCAAAGACCCAGGCTTCTCTCTTTCTTCATTTGTTTTCTGCCTGATAGGTTCTCTTATCAGACAGACTTCGCCTGTTGGTGGCAGGTGGCTAACACTGGATTCAGGCTCATATCCTCACAGCCCAAAGACCAGTGGGAAATTGGGAGGATCCTCTCTCTCGAAAGTCCTGGTAAACTTACCAAGATTGTATATTCTTGGCTTTGTTTGGGTCTCTTGTCCATCTTTGAGCCAAACACCATGGCCATGAAATAAGCACCAGCTGGGCTGCACTGACTGAGAAGGGAGGGCTGGCTAACCAAAGGCAAACCCCCATATGCAAAAAAAAAAGAAGGTGGCAAAGACATGAAGTACCTAGAACTGTTAATGGACCCTTTCTCAGGAAACTGTGATTTAGTACAGTTGTACATATTGAACATCCACTATTAGGATGTTTGTGAATTCCGTGAAGTCTGCCCATGGACCCAAATTTAGGAAGAGAAGAAAACCGAAGTCAGTCTCTTTTTCCTGTGTGCAGCCCCTTGCAGATATCAAATTATTATTAACAGTTGCATTTCTAAAATAAAAGAATATGTGAACTTAAAAAAAATAAACTTTATGGCTATGGTCAGTGTGTAGGAACAGAGTCCTACAAACTGGAAGGTGTGGGTTCGATTCCCAGTCAGGGCACATGGCTAGATTGCGGGTTTGGTCATTGTTCAGGGCAGGTTCAAGAGGCAACTGATCAATGTTTCTCTCTCACATCAATGTTTTTCTCCCTCTCTCCCTCCCTACCTCTCTCTCTACAATCAATAAGCATGACCTTAGGTGAGGATAGATAGATAGATAGATAGATAGATGATAGATGGATAAAATTTATTTTAGATTCACAGAAAGATTATGAAAATAGTACAGAGAATTCTCATACAACCCACACCTAGCTTTCCCTGTTGTTAACATTTTATAGTAGTGTGGAGTATTTGATGCAACTGATGAGCCAATATTCATACGATATTATCAATAAAAGTCCAAAGACCTTAGTTTTTACCAAATGGCTTTTTTCTCTTCCAGGATCCTCTCCAATACTGCATTACATTCATTTGTCATGTCTACTTAGGTTTGTCTGGGCTGCAACAGTTTTTCAGATTTTCCTTATTTTTGATGACCTTGACAGTTTTGAGAAGTATTTGCCAGATATTTTGTAGAATGTCTCTCAATTTGGTGGTGTCTGATGTTTTTCTCATGCTTCTACTGGGATTATACTTCTTGAAAAGAACGGTACAGAGGTAAATTACCATTTACATTATGTTTGGGGTGCATACGATCAACATGACACATCTCTGTTGAGGCTGACCTTGATTGGCAGCCTGAAGTAGTGTTTGCCAGGTCTCTTCACTGCAAAGTGAGCCCTTTTTCCTCCTTCTCCACACTGTTTTTTGGAAGAAAGTCACTATGTCCAGAGCGCACTCAAGAAGGGGGAGTTATGCTTCACCTCTTTAAGAAGAAAGTATCTACATAAATGATATGGAATTCTTCTGGACAGAAGATTGGTCTCTTCTCCCTCATTTATTTACGCATCCAATTATTTATGTATTTATGTCAGTGTAGATATTACACTTATACTTAGGGTTATAATTCAGTACCACTTCATTGTTTTTGTTGTTCAGATTGCTTTGGCTTTGGTCAGTGGGAGCTCTTCCAGTTGCCTCCTCTGTTGCTGTAACAATCCCATCATTGTGTTTAATTGTTTTTTTCTCCTCCAGCACTTCCACACTGTCTAGCACAAGAAATTACTCCAGACTTAGTTAAAATATTTCCTGCCCAGTCCTAGACTCAGCCATTTCTGCAAGGAGTCCTCGTTCTTTCTATTGTATGTGATGCTTAGAAATGAAGATCTGGGTGCTAGGTGTGCTCAATATGTACATTTTTGAGGCAAAATTATTTTAAAAGGTTTATAACCAAAAAATATAGTCAATTACTTTTTCATTCCTTTTATACATTTTATACTCTTTTGAGTTTTTTCTTCTTTTTATTCTCTCCATATTACTCATACTGTGCTTATCCTATATTTTTGATTGATCAGTCTGAGACACTATCTATTGGCCTCCTGTAAGGGTGGATAGGGTTTGACTTTCTTGCACCCCCCACCCCATGTCCTCTCTGCCTGTCTTTCCACTGTAGTCATATCCTGCTTTTGTGTTAAACCAGTAGCCAGAGTTTACATTACTATCACCATATAGATATCTTCCATACTGAGCAAATATACTGTATTACATATTCTTTCTTACACATTTTATCTTTCCTGATGATAATAATTGCCTCATTTTTTTCTTAATTCCCCAAGTATCCTTTAAATTTATCCCAAATGTTCCAACCTATCTGTCAAAGACCTATCAAATCTATTTTAAAAATACCTAAGTGTGCCAGATAATCTATTAGTTACACCCACTACCATCACCCAAAACCACCTATGCCTCTGGCCGTCTGCTCCATCCTGGTTTGGTTGTTATGACAAGTAGTTTCCAAAGCTGATTCCCCTTCAAAGTTTCTTCCTGAGCCTGTTGGAATGCTCATTTTTGAGAAAGCCAGATACTGTGTAAGAATCCGTCTGCTTTGAGACTGCCATATTGTAAGGAAGCCCTAGATGCTGTGTGGACAAGCCATGTGGAAAGAGAGAGTTGTCTGTCCAGCCCCTCACCCTTCATCTTATCAATTTGCTAGATATGTGAGTGAAAAGTCATGTTGGATGTCGTCTTTGTATCTATTTCTAAAGTTGAAGGCTTTCCCCAAATGTCTGGTGGTATTTGGTTGTCTATATTTAAAGTGATACACTAAAAACAACTTAGAAGTGCTGCGTGCATGACTGAGGATCTTGCACTGGTGACTTTAGTGAAGGAGGATTGGGTAGTATTGAAGGACAACCAAATGTCAATATCTGTAAGATTTTTTTACTAGGACCATTCAGTTTATCCAGAGATTAAATCCCCTAGTTTCCTGGGAGTAGAATCCCACAGTTCAGGGGCTCTCAGTGGGAAGGTTTTCTCAGAATCCCTCTATTATCACTTCTTCCCATGTTTTCTGGCTTCTCAGAATTCAGAGCCTCACCCAGCGTTTGTGTTTCCACCATTTCCTTCAGTGTGAGAAATGGTAAATGTTTGACGCTCATTTGGCTGGTTACAATAAAATAAGAGAATTTTTTTTTTTTTTTTTTTTTTTTAAATTTAGAACATCCACGCATCCTTAAATTCCCCGTCTGGGGCTGGGCTGGAACTGACCATTCGTTGGTCCCATGACTGTATTTACCCGAAGGGGTCCAGGTCAAAGGAGAATGTAGTGATTAAGAACATGGTTCTTGAGATCAGGAATTTTTGAGCTCAAGTCCTGTTTCTACTACTTATTAGCTGGGAATATCATTTACATAACTCTCTTAAGCTTCAGTTTCCACACCTGTTAAATGAGATGAATATTATCCATTTCTTAGGGTTGTGAGAAGTAAGTAATATATCTGCACCATTTAGCAGAGTGCCTTGCATATAATTAAACATTCAATAACTAGTGATGGTGGTATACATCTGGCTTAGAAAACACATCTGGTGGGTGAGCATTGATTTGATTTCCCCTGTAAGTGGTTCTATGTTCCTGGATATGTCATTGACTCTATAGAGTCCATAAGCACTGCGAGTACCATCTCGTCCAAGCCCTGTAATCTGGTTCATAATTTTTTTTTTTTTTTTTTTGCTTTTCTCCATTAAGAGGCCTCACTAACAAATGGTGGAACTGGGCCCAGACCTTGGGCTTGTTTGTGATGACCATGGTATGAACCTTTTTTCCTTGCCTGGTAAACTCTAATTGTGTCTTTAGCTTATGTGACGATTGATTTCAGCCTTGCTCTTCTTTCTTCATTATCAGAGCAAGGTAGGGCCAAGGACCTGGGTGAGGGAGACCCCAGAACGGGAACAGAGCCAAACTCCAGCTCACCAGCTACCTCTGGGGAGAGCTCATTGAATTCTATTACCAGCCACACAGCAGCCAGGCGAACCACAGCCCATGCACAGCTTAAACGTGCAGCCACACACAGGCACACACATGGATGCTTGTGCATGTCCAGGAAACCCCCCAAATACATGGACAAAGGGGTACACACATGCCCACACCACTGTGCCCCCCATTTGTGTGTGTGCATGCGCGCGCACACACACACACACAAGTGTCCAGGAGAAAAGTGCTCATTTTATCATGCATCCCAGATTCAGCAATGTCATTCAGGATGGGGGAAAGGGAAGATTTTGAGACAAAAAGAGAAATGAAAACAAAACAGTCCCGCCCCGTCAGCATTCTCTGGAGTATAAGAAATGAAGTTTGGGCAGACAGACGGGCTCCTGGGGTCTGCCAACAGTCAAAATGTCCAAAGGGCCTCTCGTTCTCTGGCTGCTGACTGAGCTGTGGGGGCTTTATCTGAGTAAGTGCCTGACCCTGCCATGCAGGAGTCCCCGGGGGGCTCAGCGGCCTGGGATGGAATTCCTTGGCTGGGGGGGCCTCAGTCAAGCAGAAGCCCCCTTCATTCCTGCATCTCCCCAGGGTTTCTTCTTCGGAGGGTCTCTCCCCTCCCTGTCACACAAGGTTCTAACTGGAGAGCGGTTTGGGGGCTTTAGGGTGTGTAATTGAGTTCATATCAGAAATGGTGATTTAAGAAGAAACATAGAAAGAAAGAGGCAGAAGCAATGAGGAAAAGAAGTGCCCTCTGGCCCTTTGCCGGTGTCATAGGTATAGTCAGAGCCGCAGGAGCTTGCTCCGGTTAGAGCTCTCATTACTGTTCTTATTTTCTGCTTTAGTTTCGGGAGCTTTTGTCTGCTTTTGTGTTTTATTTTGCTGGGGATGAGGCTTCAAGGCGAGGCTCGGTTCTGCACGCTGTTTCCAGGCTTTGGACAGCGCGAATGCACACGCTGGGTTCAGCCATCTGGACCTTCGCATCCTGGTGGTGGTCGGCGCAAAGCCCCCAGCTGGGCTGCCGTCCTGCCTGGTCGCTGGCCTTGACATGGGGGACATGTCTGAATTGCTCTGGTCCTTCCACGCATGACATGAAGGAACCACATAAGACCAGTTTTAACCATCTATGATTCCAGAACTAGACACTATCTAGTGTCCCTTGCAGCTTTAAAAGTTTCGTAGCTTATTTGCATATGAATCTTTCAAGTGGGCTGCTGTGTGAGAAAACAGCTACCTTCCAAGGAGAACGAAGGCGTTTCCTTACCTCTCCAGCTCTTTCAGCCATTCTTCCCTCGACAGCTCCTTTGTCCTCAGGCTCCACCTAAGTCAGGCTTTTCCTCAGCACTCAGGGCTGATGTAGGTGGTTGTGCTGTGAGTTCCTGTTCTCCCGCGGCTCCGGGTCAGAGAACTTGTCGCCTTCTAGTAATCGCTCACTAAACTACTTCTCTCCCCAGATATTCTGTAGCCATCTTCTTTCTTTCTTTTTTTGATTGAATGTATTGGGGTGACATTAGGTAATAAAATTATATAGGTTTCAGGTGTATGATTCTATAATGCATCATGTGTTCACCACCCCAAGTCAAGCCGCCTTCCATCACCGTTTATCCCCACTCCCCCACTCCCAACCCCCATCTGCCTTCTTTATCAATGGTCTTTATCTGGATTTCTGGGAGCCTGGGGTGTGGAGGGTTTTGTCGTGCTCACGGGCGCTGGAGCCTGAGTCCGCATTTGCAGCTCCTGGCGGGACACTGACTGAGCTTTGGTGGGGCTAAGGCAGCTGCTCCAACACCATTTAAAGGGCGTCATGGTGAACTGTCTGTCCGTTTGTTTTTTCATTTGTGCCTTTTCTAAAATGGCCAATTTAGAAGACAATGACTGTTCAGAATCACCGAGAGTCGATCAAAGCTGCATAGGCTCTTAAAAGATGCCAAATTAGACACTTCGGTCTGTAGGTGGTGACCCCGAGACCAGACCGGGGAAGGGCCTTTCTCGGGGTCCCCGGCGGGAGAAGAAAGCTGGCTGGCGCCAGAGCCTCGGCTGTACCTGTACCTGCCTTCCTGGGGGACTCCTGAGAGGGGGCTTGATGTGATGCTGACAATTCTTCTGCTCCCGGAAACTTGTAACTGGAAAGAACGGTTTTTTGACCTATTTCTAAATTCTAATGTGCTTGGTTACTTTGTTAATTCTGTGCAGCTTTTGATACCTCCTCTCATGGGAACCTTAGAAACTCTTTCTGAGGGGAGTTGTTACCCCATGGCCTTTATTTTATAACGTAATGAAGTGAGAATTCTTGTGGCTTTTCTCCAAGAACATAAAAGCTGTAACTGGCAGATGAGGTTTACAATGTAAGCCTAATGGGTGTTTTCATGCCACACAAAATTGCCTGCTTCCTTTTTCTTTTAAATATTAATATTTAATCAGATGAGTAATACAGATACCCGTGGTAAAAGAAAAAATATATATATATAAATGTTATAAAAGCTAAAGTCACTTTTGAGGACCACTCCCAGGCCTTGTCCCTTCCCAGCGGACATGGGGTCACTGACAGCAGTTGGGTGTGTAACCCACCAGACGCTTTTCTCTGCATTTATATTCATACAGCTGCACACGCACACAAGACACAATGCAAACTTTTATTTATTTATTGTATCAAGTGGCTTTTTATTTTGTGTGTTGCATTAAAATTTGCACTTTTTTCTTTTTTTATGTATTGATTTTAGAGAGAAAGAGAGAGAGACAAAAACATTGATTTGCTGTTCCGCTTATTTATACATTCATTGGTGCCCTGACCAGGGATCAAAACCACAACCTTGGGGTATCAGGATGACGCTCTAACCAACTGAGCTTCCCAGCCAGTGCAAAAATTTGCTCTTTTCTTGCTTCCCTAAGACTTGGAACTTTCATGCCAATTGACATAGGTCTATCTAATTCCAATAATCTTCTATACATGACTTCATGGGATGAATGTGCCACAGTTTGGCCATTCCCATGTACACATGTTCACTCCATTCACATGTGCATGAGGGCAGCGGTGAACATGCACAATTAGGTTTTCCTATGCATATGTGTTTTTCTACAGAAAACAAAATATGAAACTGACAAGGCTCAGATATTACATGTCCATGTTAAATGTTAATAGAAACTGCCAAATTGGCTTTCACTGTGGCTATATCAACTCTTCCCGCATTTCATTGCAGGTAGCTCCAGTAGGCTGTCTTTTCCTAGATCCCTGTTGGCCAACAGTTACTACTATCAGCATTCTAAATTTTTGCCATATAGGTGAAATTTATTATTCAATTATGTTGCCTCACCTATGAATTGCCTGTTTTGTCCTTTTTTAGTTCTTCTACTGGGTCTTAAGAAGTAGGATGCATCCTTCGATGCTTTCATACTTGGGAACATAAAGTGATGACTCTCCAGTAGAAATAACTCCCGCATATATTTTAAAATGAATCTCCCAAATATTAGTAGGAACAAGCTTGTGTTTTAGAAGTTACTAGTTTCAGGCACGTGTGTTCTGTCTTGCTAACACAGCCGAGGGTGACGGCAATGAATTTCCTATCTATTTTCCTGGTTTTATGGTGAGTAAAATGGATGTCCACAGCATTCATGATCCGCGGAACACTTTCACTGTGGCGGAATGGAGAGACCGTGCGTTCAGGGAAGGCTCCAGGCTGCTCTGACTTTGGAATGACCTCCATCGTGAGAGCCTACTCTGAAAAACCCAGGATGCATGTCCTTCTGCTTTCTCTCTGGGCACCTCTTCGGTTCTATGCTCACCTGCTAGAGAGGGATATCTGGACGTCACTTACACCTGTGTCAGGGAGGGACGGGGAACTGCGGGCCATTTCAACTTATACAACTTAGCCAAGTGGGTCAATACAGTTAATGAACAGACAGTGTCACAGGGCCGGGGGTTCCGTGAGGAAGACAATATGCAGGGACCTAGGCACTTAGGACGTTGTCCTGATGGTCTGGATCTTCAGCCTGGTTCTCACTTCAATAGTATTTCTCTCTCTCTCTCTCTTTTTTTTTTTTTTTTTTTGGTTTAGAACAATCACTGATGCCCAGTGGGCTTAACACTTGTAGAAGTAAAAATATTTCGTAGTCCCTCAGAAATGGATCTAATCTTAGAAGGGCTTGTTCAGGGGTTTTCAAGCGGTGGGTGAGTGGCCAACAACGTCAGCATGACTGGAAGAGCTTGCTGTCCATTTCCATGGGCTTTGGCCTCAGCGGTCCTGACTCAGGGTTGGTCAATAAAATATATATTTTTAACACACTCCCCAGGTTACACCGATGAGCAGCACAAGTTGGGAAACATGGATACTTCATTTTAGAAATACAGGGTGGGGCAAAGGTAGGCTTACGGTTGCTCATACTGAGCAACCTGTACTGAGAGGAGGAGACAATGAGATACAGTAGGAGAGCCCATCTTCCTGCCATGGCCCTGTCTGGGTGGGAAGACGGAGGGAGACCCACTGGCGGCTCTCCAGCCAGTAGTACATAGTCGCTGCTTAGTGGGATCCAGGGGACAGAGGGCTGCTTTGGGGCCTGTTTCTATGAGTTAGTGGGATTGGTTCGAGGGTCAGGACTTCTCATTGGCAAGGGTATTCGTTAACATAATGGCACTCAAGGTCATGGTTTTTAAACCAGCAACAAGGCCTTGCTGTGGAAAGGAGTTTAGACACTCAGATAGGTCATCTGTGCCCACTTGGGAGGTAGAAGGATGTGGTGTTGGGAGCTCAGCTCTGGTGAGGGGCCTATCAAAATTAGACTAAAGGAACACATGTATTAGAACTCTCTCCATCTTCCTGGGAGCATCTATTCACACAATCTCTGTATAGCGTCTACGAGGTATTTTAGTGTCACATGACCTGGTTTTCTCATCCTTCCCCACAGCTCCAGCTGCAGCGCAGACTGTCGTGAGGGCATTTGCGGGTCAGTCAGCAACCCTGCCCTGTGCGTACTCCTCGTGGAGCAGCGGCAGCAACAGCATGTGCTGGGGCAAAGGCCCGTGTCCCAAATCCAAATGCACAGAGGAGCTCCTCCACACTGACGGGTGGCGGGTGACGTCAAGACGGTCGACGAAGTACGTCATTCAGGGGGAAATCCAGAGAGGCGATGTCTCCTTGACAATCTTCAACACCAATGAAGGAGACAGCGCTGTGTACTGCTGTCGCATAGAGGTGCCTGGCTGGTTTAATGATGTTAAGAAGAACATTCGCCTGCAGATAAGGAAAGGTGAGCAGGTGGAGGGGCGCTTGCTGGTGGAATGAGAGACGCAGTGGTTAATGGGTAATGGTCTAGGTGGGTGGGGGAGGGGCTTTAGCTCCTTCGGCAACAAGTGGACAGTTTGCATCTGAGATGTGTTGCTATGACCAGAGGAGCCACAGTATGGAGCAAAGGCCTGCGGGGGCCAAGAAGGCGGCAGAAATGAGTGAGTGGAGCGTGGTGGGTGGGGAAGGAAATTGCAGGGTCCGTGTGAAGGAGGCAGCAGCTTCTCATTAAGGAGACTGTCACCTTGCAGGAATTGGGGCCCAGTGTTTTGAGACCTCTCAGTTTTTATGAGCTGTGCTGATTTTTGCATGTTGGCAAAGATTTCAAAATTTAGAAAAGTATATGCTGTATAAACTAAAGAAAATGTGCCCATGGGTCAGCTTCAGTAGACTGATACTTTGCGGCTTCTGACAGAGGACAGAAGGAGTGGGATGTGGGGACACTGGTGAGAATTTTCAGGTGTTTTGTTATTCTATTACTATCCATTGCTTTTGGTGAAATTTGGGACACAGTGGAACACCTAAAGATTTGAGCATTCTCCTCCCTTACCTGGGATTGTCAAACCTCAATTGTTATGCTCCTTTTTTAAATTGAATTTATTGGGGTGACATTGGTTAATCGAATTATGTAAGTTTCCGATGTATGGTTCTATCATACATCATCTGTGCATTGTATGTTCGCCACCCCAAATCAAGTCTCCTTCTATCACCTTTCAGCCCCCTTTCACCCTCTTCTACATCCCTTCACCCCCTTTCCCTCTGGTAACCACCACGCTGCTGTCTGTGTCTCTGAGGTGTTATCTTTGCTGAAGCCCTTCCCCTTCCCCCCGCCCCCGCCCCTCCCCTCTGACAGCTGTCTGTCTGTTCTCCGGCTCTATGAGCCTGTTTCTATTTTGTTATTTTATTCTAATGGGTTTTAAAACTTTACAGCTGGTGTGAAGGCTTCTAGTTAGAGAACTTTCATACACATTGGCATATCTTTCTTTCAAAACAACTTTGTGAGATAGAAATTACTATTATTTTGATTTATTAAATTAGACAATGCCAATCAAAGTCTGCTCTTTTCATGCCTGGTATGATATGTCATTTTCTTTTTAATTTTTATTTTTTGTTCAAACACATTTGTCACCACCTTCCTGCCACCGCTTTGCCCTGCCCCCTTCCTGATATGTTATTATTTTATAAAATACTTGTTGACCTCCATGCTCTGTGGGGTCATTTCTAAGTTCAAGTGACAATATTGGTATCTTTCCGGTCAATTAGCATTCATGGAAATTTGGCATATTTCTTAGTGGCGTCTGTAGAATAACTGTGTCTAATGAACCCAAATTCAAACATTTAGGGGGTGAGTGGTACTGGCATGAACCAATCTTTAATAACTGAAAGGGACTACATCCTTATCCTATGGTGTGCACTTTAGGCTCAGTTTTTATAGATTTTAATTTGATTTAGTTTTATTGTGGAAAGAATGCCTCATGTGAGTTCTACCCTCTTAACAGATTTTTCAAGTGTACAATATATTATTGTTAACTGATAGACACAGTTGTGCAGCAGATCTCTGAGTTTATTCATCTTGCTTGACTGAAATTTTATTTTACTTATTTTTCTTTCTCTCTAATTTAAATGGTCCCATACAAGGTTTTTATGTACAATCAGTGTTTATTGTAACAGTTTATATTAAAAGTAGATAACATTTATCTAAAATGTTACCTGGCTGTATGGCACATTTGACATTGTTGCCCACAGGAAGAGGGAGAACAAATGGATTTACAATAACCTTTGGCTGTTTCAGATTCTGAAAGTGTTCTGGACTGAAATTTTATATTTGGGTTCACTTTTGATGCAGTCACTTAATTACTCATTGATGTTTTGGGGACACTTACTGTGTGCAGGACACCATGGTAGGTATTAGATTTGTACCAGAGAAAAAAATAAGTGCCAGATTTTCCCTCATGGAGCTTACTGTCTAGTGGGAGAAGCAGACATTAAACAGTAATCATCAAATAAATGTGTGGTTACAAAATGCAACACATGCTGTGAAGGTAAAGCGTAAGAATGCAAAAACAAATTGTTATTACAGGACACAGATGACCGCCTTGCAAGACTGTCCTTTTAGCTGAGACATGCGGGCTAAGGAGGGGTTGTCCTGATGCTAAGAGAGACCCGGAAGCAGCAGGCACAAAGTTCCTCCAGCTGGGCGGTCACTAATACGTTCAAAGAACTGAAGAAAGGCCAGTGGGCTGGGGAAAGGTAGACAGCACAGTAGAGACATGAGATAGGACAGAAAGACAGGGCCAGACCAGGCAGAGCCTGCGGCCAAGGCGGAGGGCTTGTCTCTCTATCTTAAGAGCAAGCAGGGCTCAGTAAAAAGTCTTCATTGGGGACTGACATAATTAGATTTATCATTTTAAAACATTACTGTAACCAATGTGTGAAGAACAGATTGGAAAGGCCAATTTTCTTGGGAATTGCCATGATCCAGGGCAGGGGGCCAGATGAAGGCGGTAGGAACAGAGAGAAATGGAAGGATCCCAGATATAGTTACATTGCTTCCCTTTTCCTCCATCTCTACTCAGTATCACACACGTCTTCTGTCGGTTACAGCCCCAACGACCACCCGTCGTCCAACCACCCGTCGCCCACCCACTACCACGACCACCACCACCACCACCGCCATGGCAACGCCCACAACCACGCTTCCAACCACCGTCATGACTGCGCCCGACTTCACACCCAGAACACCACTTCCGACAAGAACCACCGCTGCCCTCTCAGTAATGACGACCACATGCCCCTTGACAACACCAAGCCCCCTTCCTGAGACAGCCAAAACTCTTCCCACTGCTGAGCCTTCCACCGCAGAGCCCATGCTCACTGCAGGTACCTGGTACAGTTGGTCATTCTTTCCCTTCTGCTGATCAGATACATACAGGGTCCCTTGGAACATGGGTCTTCTGCTGAATGAGCAGGGCAGAGCCTTGCTCTTGTGTGTGTGCTGGGGGGGGGTGCGGTATGTGTTAGTGTGTTAGTTTTCCAGGACTATCATAACAAAAACCACAGACTGGGTGGCTTAAACAACAGAGTTCATTTTCTTACTCTTCTGGAGGCTGGAAGTCTGAGATCGAGGTGTCAGTAGGAGGGCTGGCTTCTTCTGAGGCCACTCTCCTTGGCTTATAGATGGTCATCTTCTCACTATGTCTCCACGTGGTCTTCCCCCTTTGTATGTCTGTGTCCTAATCTCTTTTTTTTTATAAAGACAACAGTCATATTGCCTTATAGCCCATCTTAATGACCTCATTTTACCTTAATTATCTCTTTAAAGGCGCTATCTCCAAACATAGTCATATTCTGAACTACTGGAGTTTAGGACTTCAACACATAAATTTTGGGGGGTGGGTCATAATTGAACCCATAACAATGTGTGTTTGTATTCACTAAACTGTTTCTCCTCTTTGTTTTATGGTTCCTCTTTTTTTCTTTGTTTTTGAAAAGCCAGCTTTTTGTTGTTCTCCAGTTGACCTCCCAGCAATCTTGCAGATGGTTACTGAAGAACCAGAAAATGTCAGACTCCAGTTCCATCCAGCCAGGGGTTAAGTCTCTGGCTGGGCTTTACAGATTAGTTGAGGAAAATCCTCCTCCAGATGCCTTAACATATTTTTTGATAGTGAAATAGTTCTATTCTCTTTCTTATTTTTTTTCTCCTGAATCCTTCTTGATCCCGCATCTTGGACCTCTCACTGAGTTACTAATGGGGGCTTATTGAAGCTCCCACCTCTGATTCTGAGGATAAGATTAGTGGAAAATAGCCCAGGCCAGTGATGCTCCAGTTGGTTGGGCATCATCCCACAAAAGGAAACATTGCTTGTTCGATTCCCAGTCAGGGCACATGCCAGGGTTGCTGGTTCGGTCCCCAGTTAGGGTGCATATGAGAGGCAACCAATCGATGTTTCTCATATCAATGTCTCTCTCCCTTTCTTTCTCTCTTCTTCCCCTCTCTCTAAAAATAAATAAGTAAAGTCTTTTAAAAAATACTACTAGAAAACCATCATGAGATAATTTGAAGGCTTTCTTAAGCATTTCAGCTGCCTCAATAAGGCCTGGATCATTTAAATAGTTTTACACTATTCAATTGGCTAATTCTATTATACTCTGAATAGTCACCTGAAGTCCATGAACCCTAAACCAATCCACTGTCTTTTGTATTTTTTATTGGCCTTTAAACTAATCATCTTAAAATACATTTGCAGTTTTTTCCCTCTAGATTCTAAAAATTACTTGCAATCCTTAAATAGAACCTGAAATATATAAAAAGCACAAAAACAACTCTAAAAAAATAGCCCCAAATCTCACCACCCAGCTCCAACACTCATTTTTTTAGCTGCCTTTTTTTTCCCTTCCAGAATCAGAAACTTTTTTTCTCCCTGAGGAGACTTCTAGAGACACATCCACAGGTATGTGGACACTTGCTTGCTTCTTCTTCCCTCACCTCTTAGATTGAGGAGAAGGAAACAGTGACCAGCGTGTCCATAGAGCAAATGAGTAGAGGTGACTTATGGCCCCTGTGTGCCATGAAGTCCACCTGGGACAAACTGATGTCAAGGCAGCTTTTGTGGCGCATTCATTCCTGCAGATAAAGGGATAAAAGGGGGAGGGAGAGGGAGAAGAAGGGAAGGAGGGAGGGGGAGATACTGATTGACTGATTGACTTTGAGTCATTCATGGCGTCCTTCGTGGCAGCACATCTCTAGAAACCGGCCTTTGCACCCTAGGTTAGGTGGTGCTTAGCTGCCTCATTCTGATGCCAAGCCCACCAGTCTTTTGGGTTGCAACGCCCAAAGGGTACACTCACTTGATTGGCTGGCTCTTTATGGTAGAGGGAGAATTCTTTTATTCCCTTGTCCTTTCATCCATCAAGCCTTCTTTAGGTATTTACTAGGGCTTAGGGACAGGGAATTCCCTACAAATAAGACATGACTCGTATCCTTGGGGGCACTAGGGAGAAGGGCCTGGGCTTGACTCCCAGTTCTGCTGCTGTTGCTGGGGGTCACTGGCCTCGGCATATTCCCAGGCTTGTTGTGGAGCTGCGCGACTCCATGCATGGACTTGGATGAGGGTCTGGCACATCAGTAAAGTGCTCACAAGGTAGCCGTTACCTGAACGGGACTTACAGTCAAGCAGAGGCAAACCGACATCCAGGAGTAAATAAACCGATGCTTGTGACAGAACAATACAGGGAGGCAGGGTGGTAGCGTGGGCCCTGTGTGCACTCTGGTGCCCCCCTGCCTGGGTTCAAAACCTGCCTTTGACCTGCTGTGCTGCTTAGGGAAAGTTGCTCAGTCTCTCTGGGCCTTCCTCATTGATAAAATGAGAATAATAATAACACCTCTCCTATATATGTGTTTTCCCAAGGATTAAATGAGAAATGCATGTAGATGATTTAGAACAGTGCCTGGTGTGTACTAAATGCTCAGGAAACATTAGCTCTGTCTTGTTTTGTTTTGTTTTTGTTTTGTTGTTTTGTTTTGTTTTAATGACAGCAGTTTTGGGGACAGAGGGAAACCCCAAATAGAAAGACAAGTATTTACCTAAGTTTGTTTTCTCTTTTCCTTTGCTTTTTTTCCAGAGTCCAAAGGTTGGATTCTCCAGTCAACATCCCAGGCATTGCTGTCGAAAAGAAGAGAGCCAGGGGGTTTTTCTCAGCCAGAGGGTAAGGGGCTGTGCATCTGTGAGCAGTGTTGTTTTTGGCCGTGGGAACAGTCTGGCGTCTGCCTGCTTGTCTTGGGATTGAGCTGTTTTGGTTCCACTGTGGTCACATCCTACATCCTCCTGTGAGCTGGGATGAAAGTGAAACATGCTAAAAGCATCAGCGCTGGTCTCTTCCCTTTTCTCCTTCATTTCTGAACCCCTTTCTCAGCCACTTCTGACTTGAAGCTAGGAATGCTAGTAGGAGAATCATTCATTCATTTTTCAAAATACTACTAACTTCTTTTTCTTCTTCTTCTTCTCCTTCCTCCTCCTCCTCCTTCTCCTCTTCTTCTTCGTCTTCTTCTAATTATTTTAATCCTCACCTGAGGGCATTTTTTTCATTGCTTTGAGAGAGAGAGAGGAAAAAAGTGGGGGAGGGGAAAGGAGGGTGGGGGAGAGAGAGAGAGAGACAAAGAAACATTGATGTGTGGTTAACGTCAATCAGTTCCCTCTTGCACGTGCCTGGACTGGGGATTGAACCCACAACCCCTCTTTCAGTCTATGGGACAGCGCTTCAACCCACTGAGCCACATCAGCCAGAGCCTACTAACTTATTTTAAATTACACAAATATGACACTAATGCATTCCTGTGGATGATACCTTAAAAAAAGTTAGAAACAAAGTTCTCTTTGACTCCCTCCCTTTAATGCCAGCCCCTCCTCTGAGGTTGCCACAGCTATTATTTGAAGATGAACATTCTAGATCTCTTTTTATTCCCTATGTGTGTGTATAGATATAGAGACATACAGTTTGTTTTGTACGTGGATATTTTTTAAATCCTATCAGACTGTGTGCAGTCTTCTGCATTTTACTTTATTCACTTCACATTATATGTATTAGACCACCATCTCCCTCAGTCCATGTAGATATGCCTCATTGTGTTAAATTGCTGTGTAGTATTTCACACCATGAAGGATCCATTGCCCTGTGAGCGCATTGTGGTTGTTCCAATGTCTCATGATTGTGAATAGTCTGCAGTGAACTGCGTGTCCCCTTAAGCGTTTATGCAAGTGCCTCTCTAGCTAGGGTGGTGCCCAACGAGGAGCAATGCTAGGCTGAAAGACATGTGCAAGTTTTAAATTTAATAGCTATTACAAAATTGTCCTCTGGAAATGCTGAGACAATTTGTTTTCCTGCCCACAGAATATCTGCTCTCCAATATCCTCCCTACACTTGATGTGACCATTTGTTTAATTTTTTTCAATCTCCCTGGGAAGAAAAATGTCATCTCGTCGTTTGGCTCTTCTGATTAACAGAGAGTTTGAGTGTCGTCCTATGTGTTTATTAGCCAGAAGACGGCCATCCTTTACCTCCGGGAAGGAGGCAATGTCATATCACTCACAAAGGCTCAGAAGATAGGATGGAAGGGGACAGACGAGAGTGAGTGGAAGGGGTATAGGTTTTGAAGGAAGACTATAAATCAAGATGAAACGCAAGGGTGATCTAATGTGGAAAAGCTCCAGCTTGCACTAACTCGTACAGTGGGAAGACAGATGATCTGGACTCGATGTTCAAAACGTAAGGGAAAACGCGTCCCAGAGATTCAAACCTTCTTTGTCTGTGTGCGGCACAGGGTTAGGAAGGAGGCAGCTCTCTGTCAGAAGAGAAGGTGGCAACCAGAGAAGTGATGAAGGGTGGGCAAGGAGTTTTCAAAATGTTATCCTTTATTCCATTTAAATCTTAGACTATTTTACTTTAAATTGGGAGGAGGAGGTCGTCTGATGGTTTACCCTCTTCTGTGATATTTCTGATTGTTTTCATCTCACTCCTCTTTGTTAAGTTCTGGGAGAGAGGGAACGCCTGCTCCCACATCTGGAGGCCGCACTGCGGAGGAGGAGGAACTTGTTGTGAGAGGGTGTGTCTGTCTCTGTGTCAGCATCTCTGCGTTGTGAAACGAGCCAGGGTTGATGGAGCATGTACCACGCGGCTGGTCAGGCTCTCGCCATGGGCCGCTCCGCCGAGTCCCTCTTTAGCAGATGCCCGCATTCCCTGTTTTATGTGACTGTCACAAGGCCACGCCTCTCTCGGGTACCAGGCCCGGGCAGGCCAGCTTGGACTCCATGCTCGTAGATGTTATTTCATGTTACCTTGTTCTCCAGCCTGAAATGAACGGTCTTGTTCTTTCATTTACCACTCTCTTTTCCCACTGGTTTTGGTAACAAAACACGTACAACAATATTGACCATCTACTAAGGACTTAGCTCTGTGTTAGGTGCTGTACTAAGGGTTTTTAACGTGCATTTTCTTACTTAAATCTCACGATGAGCTTCTAGTCAGACAGAGGTATTGCCCCCATTTTACACATTAAAAGAACCAAACAGAAGGTCAGAGAGTTTATTAGAGAAGCTTAGGCCTACTCTGGGCTTTGCTTGTTTTAACACCATTCATTTACATGCATAACCTTATTAGATTATTCACAAAAGCCTATGAGATAGACACCATTATCACCTTCATTTAGGAGTCCCTGAAGGTTGGATACCTAATGTGGAGGATGGCAGGCCTGCGTCTAGCCCAGTCTGCCCGACTCTGACACCATGCTGTGCTGCTTCCCCCGATTCCTCCGATGCCCCCTTGGAGGCTCTTATAGAACAAGACCTCTCTTCACTTCCATGGACGTGCCTCACCCAGTAGCAGAACACCTGCATGCCTCTGTAGGGTTTTCTTTGATTCCCTCCTCATTTCTTCATGTAATTTTTGGATGGGAAAACTTCTTTCATGATTGAGGGCTGGTTTAAATCCTTAAAGAGGCTCTAGTCAAAATTACTATTCCCTAAAATGAGCATTGCCCAGAAAGGCAATTTCTCACTTCTACTCTTTGTGGAGCTCAGAGATGGGGGGTGATTTGCTCAAGGTCACAGAGCTTGAAACAGAAACAACAACAATAACAATAAAATCCCTCCCAGGTTCTTGCGGCAGCTAAAGGAAGTCTGTTAGGGGAATATCACCTCTTAGTCCTCCAGGGACCTAGGAATCTAAATCACGTCTTCTAGCCCGAAGAGTGATTCGTGTTTGCCTGGCAACAGGAGTACACGAAATGGTTCCAGATTGTTCCCTAAAAACTCAGTCTCTATGGGGCAAGGACTCTGAAGGCGGGGTGAGTCGAGCCACATGGCCTCGATATAATCAGGGGGCCTGGGGTTAAGTTCTCTGCTGACTATACCTCCAGCTCACTTTTACTAGTTCAATAATACCCCAAATCCTTTCTTCCCAGTCCTTCCTTCTCACAGTCTGTCGGGTAGCCTATGGCAAGGGTGAAAGGGGCTGTATGTAGCTGGTGTGGGAAAGGTTCAGGTTATATCCCAGCTGGACCATTTCATGGTGGGTTCTCCCCACCCCCTTTTAGAATTTCAGGTGAGTGGCTTGTTATATCCTTTTCTAAATCTCAGCTTCTTCAATATATAAAATTGAAGTTATAGTGGTCCTTATTTCACAAGGCTATTAAGTGAGGGAATGCATGAGAAAAATGCCCAGTCCATAATTACTGGCTAGTCACTGTGGTGGATACCTATGTCCTCTCTTCAGTTTTCTGCTGCTGTTTCTACTCAGACGCCCTCATTATTAGGCCAGACCAGCAAGGTAACGAGAGGCCACTTCCAAAAGCTCCCAACTGACTCGCTGTTCCTTGTAAGCTCATAGACACTTTTGGGTTTTATGTGGGTGTATGTGTGTGTGTTTTTTAACTGTTGATCACACCAGGGAAACAGCTGATGAGTGACAAAATTACAAAGTTGGGGAAGTTATGAAAGCTTTAAAATTGTATGGTAAAAATTCTTTACTTATGATTAGAAGAAATCTGAGATCCTGAAAGCTTTTCATGGACTCCTTTGTCTATGGCTCTACAGCACTCTTAATGATTGCTTTTATTTCTGTGGGTGGACATCTTTAATCTTCCACTGCCTCTTACTTGTTTTGTCCTCACATTGCCCCATCTATGGAAGTGACACTCTATAATTTAGGCTTAGAAGGCAAGTTATGGCTGAAAAAGAGCTGTTGTGGAGTTGGCCTCGCAAGGGCTTCCCGTTTTCTGTTTCTTATTTTATAAGACGCTTCTAAGTGCATAGCTTCTATTTCTACCATGTGAAGAAAGCCCCACCCAGGCAATCAAATCTGCCCTCTCTATAGCTGCCTGGAATGGAGCTCAGAGATCTGGGGTTATTGTCCTGACATCACGCAGCTAAACAGAGGGAGGGTGGGGACTCACACCTAACTCTCATGGGTTTTTAGACTGTGTCCATGAACTCGGGGGGACTGAAGGGTTGTTGTATATGGAAAACTGGGACACTGAGTCCAGAAAAGGCCAGCAAGTTAAGAGAGGCCTTACACTGAGTTAGGAAGACAGCTGAGACCAGAGGCTACAGTTGGCCTTTGTCTCAGGACTGGCAGCCCTTGTCTTTCAACAGAGCTTCCCTGAGGGCAGATTTTCATATTTGATCTGGAAGCATTAGGACTCACTTTTTTCTAGCTCCCAGATGGATCATTATACCTGTCACCAGCATGAAGTCAAAGCTGTAGAACAATTTCAAATTGAATGCACCCAAATAACATGAGGACTTTGCTGTCAATCCAGTAAAATTGGAAAAAATGAATGTTGCTCTGGTAATAACATTTTTCATTCCTTGAGATTTTTACAGTAACTTTTTCTTGGTCGCAGGGTTAGGATGGTGAAGAAGTGGGGAAGAGATGCTTTTAGAAACATTTGTTCTATTACTGTTTTGGCATTTTTTTGTTTGTTTGTTTGTGTGCTTTTTGTTTTAGTTATTCAAAGCCAGCCCATGTATCATGGTCCAGAGCAAGCTGGCCTTGCCATGGAATCAAAGAATTGTCAGAGGAAATGGGTTTTCTATCTTTATTCTGGCATTTGGATTGCATATTTGGATATTTGGGAAAGGCCTTTCAAATCTGTCATTCATTAATGATGGCTTAGCTAGTCGTTTCTCTGTACACAGCACTGGACATAGAAA